GACGGGGTCAACCAGTATGTATTTTGAAAAAATGAGGGTAATTAAAGAGGGAAATGCTCTCATTCCAAGGGAAGGTTTATGGTCAAGTGAGACCATGACTCATCTTGTCAAATGACACATTTGGTAGAGAAAAAAGCTAGAGGAGCTGGTCAGGTCTGTTGGTGCACATCCGTAATTCCAGCACTTGGGAGGCTGAGGCAGGAGGATTTTGGAGTGTTTGAGGCCAGCCTGAACTACATAGCAAGACTCCAAGTCCCACCCCACCCCCACACCAAAAATAGCCTAGAGGAGCTAAGAGGATCCTTACAGAGCTCCAAAAGTAACCCTGAGGAGCCTTAACTGGTCTTGTCAAATTTTTACAGGTAGATTAATATTACTACAGGTCTTACTCGGACTTTGTCTTAAATACCTACATTACTCCCAAATGGAATAATACTACAAAAACAAAGAAGTTAGGCTATATATTAAAGGGGAGCTTCAAACACTGCACCAGCCCCTACCGGTAGTCCCAGCTGCACTTGTAGTATCATGGTCTACAGCTCTGGAGGTCCTGACTCCCAGTTCCACTGGTTCTTTAAACACTGTTCATGCTGGGCGTGGTGGCGCACGCCTGTAATCCCAGCACTCAGGAGGCTGAGGCAGGAGGATCGCTGTGAGTGCGAGACCAGCCTGGGCTACATAGTGAGTTCAAGGGCATCTCAACTACATAGTGAGACCATGTCTCAAAAAAAAAACCCAAAAAAAAACACCACAAAATTTTCAAAAAAACAAAAAAAGGTGTTCTTCAGCCTGTTTCAGTGTATTACTAAAAGTTATTTTAATGTACTTTCAAGTACATCTGGTAGACGATCTGGCTTCCTGTATAATGTGCCTATACGATAAAAATGCCAATATAAATATTCTAGCTACTAATCTTTATTACCTTTGGGGTATGGACTTTCTGTTATCTACTTTAGGCTTTATATGTTCAGATTATCTGGAGCCAATCACTACAAAAGGTATTCAGATCTACAAAACAGAGGCCAGTTCCCAGGTCCTGAGTCCAGTAAGAATTTTAATGGCCTAATGGTTACACAGAAACACAGGCATCTTTATTTAGTGTAGTATTTGGCCACTGTTATAATTAAAATAGAAAACTATATTTCTTATTGACAAAATAGGGAGGAATCTGTACACTCTCAACCTCCACCTGTTGTACCTGAATTAACATCTCTGGACAAATAGAGGTTAATATTACATATAAAAGGCTTATGGCAATGCCAATTTTGTCTGATTTCTACAACTTTTTGGAGCCATCATTCACCAATACTCCCCTTTTAATTTTTGGCCCTGGCTTATCTCACATAGTTATAAAATGAAGCTAAAGATTTAATGGCTTGCTAATGTTCTTGTCCTCCTTCTAGACTATCAAAAATGATGGCTGTTCAAACGAGAACCTGGTATTCCTATGCCTCCTTTAGATCAATCACAGGGAGACTTCCAATCCCTGGGTAGAGAAGGTCAACGTCCCCTTCTCAGTCTGAAGCAGGCATAAAAAGTTAGACCTCTGGTCCATTAGCATGCCTTAAGAATAAGACGTCGAAGTCTGGGGTGGGATGAGGCAGGATAGAAGAGAGGAAGAAAGGAGAAAAGAAAAATAATAATTTAAAATCTGTGCTTTTAAGACTGCAACTTCAGGACAAAGTTACCCAAAGTTATCCATATCTTTATTTCCTAGGCTTGTTTATGCTTCTTTTATTCCAAGCTTAGTATACCTAAAATCCCTTAGATACTTTAAATCTATACATTACCTTAGTTGATAAAATAAAGGACAGACACTTGACCTTAAGATAGAAACACAGACTCAGGAGGCTGAGGCAGGAGGATTGCTTGAGTTTGAAGCTAGCCTGGGCTACAGTATTCAATTCCAGCCTGAACTATGCAGTGAGAAGAGCTAGAACAAACAGAAGAGAGAAACAGATACAAAACATCTTTGATCGCACATCGTAAAAAAAAAAAAAAAAAAAAAAAAGGATCCTGCCTTTCTCCTTAAAAAGTCTTCCTTTCCCTGTAAAGTAAGCTATTATCTTTCTACCTGTGGGTGGGTCAACCATCCCTTTTCCCTATAAATCAAGCCCAACTTTCTTTTTAAAAAATTCATTAATTTTATCGCTACATTTTTGGTATGCAATATGATGACATCCATCATTTGGAATTTGTATCTTTACATGATACATCTTGGTTCTTATTTTTTTCCCATTCCCCAGCCCTTCCCTCAACCCCTCCACCCTTCCCTATTTAAAAAGACTTTGTTTCCATTTTTCCTTTTTTCATACTTGTTCCTTTCCCTTCTTTTCTTTCCCCTATCTCTCCTACTTCCCCTTTCTTCTTTGGACATTTTCTTCTTATTTCACATTATCTATTATACATTTTGATCCTTATTTACACTTTCAGTTTCTCATACCAGAGAAACTATTTGATATTTACACGTGTCCTATTTATTTTACTTGAGAGTGTGGCCTCAGTGTGCATCCATTTAACTGCAAATGTCTCTAGTTCCTCAGTCTTTACTGCTGAGTAGAACTCCATTTTATAAAACAACCCCACATTTTCTTTATCGAGTCACCAGCTGATGGGCAATTGGGCTGTTTCCAAGTTTTGGCTATTACAAACTGTGCTGCTATGAACATGGGTGCACATATATTACTGTGGTATTATTCTTAATTATTTTGGTAAAATACCCAGCAGGGGAATAACTGGGTCAAATGGGACCTCTAATCTTAGTTTTCTGAGGTACCTCTATACTGATTTCCACAGGGGTTTAGATTTAATGCAATCCCAATTGAAATTCCAACAGCATACTTCACAGAACTTGAGAAAACAATCTAAAAATTTATTTGGAACAAGAAGACACCTAGAACAAAATTCTGCCTAATAAATCTCTTTATGCCTCTGAAAGAGACAGCTAATTAGCAATCTTAATTACATACAGTTATTCCTCATTTAACGACTGTTCAGACTGATGACCAAGACACACTGTTCACACTTATGATCTGTCTTTTTTTTGTACAGTTCTGTACATCTTGTTTATAGAACCTCAATGTGGTTATATAGTAATGTAATTTTTGCTCACTGTCCTGTATATTATACTACTGTAGTTTTACATTGTCATATATTATAGTACTACATGCAATAGTTATGCAAATAAAAGCAAAGTCATCAAGTTGTAGTTTCCTTCAAGCATATCTTTGTTCTGAATAGTGTAATTTACATACTATATACAATTCCTCATTTAGCAACCAATTCAACAATCAATCTAGTCGCAGGAATGGAACTCGGTCTCTTTAAGATGTGTGTGCATGGACTTTTCTTTTGCTATGCAACTTAATGTGTATTCAGACTCTGTGGCTTAGGACATGGCTGTCTTGAAGTAGGGAGTCCACATTCTGCCTAACACTGTTTTACAACAGTATGAAGTTTTAAAATTTAGCTAATATATTTAATAAAAACAATAAATGAGAAAGGATATTACAATTATTAGAGTTGACCTAAAAAATACAAAGAATAAGAACCAATGTATGACTTTTTTAAAAAAATGAGTGTTTAATATAAGAAATTGCTACCTATCTTAAAGGTCATGAAGATTCTGTCAAGTTCTTTCTTGTAGCTTACTATTTTTAGGCCTTATATTTAGGTCTACGTTCCACTGTTAGGTTTTTTTTCCCCCTTGCACAATTGTTCTAGCATCTTTGGTGAAGGGACGGAGACAAGTAACAGGATAGATTTTTATAAATCTCAAATGCTCCATGCTGGATGATACATATATATAAAAGGCCATGTTTGTACCCTTAGGATGTTCTAGAATAGGCAAAACTATAGGGACATAAATCAGATCAGTGATTGTTAGAAACAGGGAAGAAAATGACTACAGGAGGGCAAAGAACAACTTGGGGATGACAGAAATATTCTATACAATGACTGCCAGCAGTGGTTACACGATAGTATGCATTTATAACACTCAGAAACCCATATAACTAAAAAGAGTGAGCTTTATGTAATTATTCTAATACCTGACTTTAAGAACTACCAATGATAAGATGAAAAGGTATACAAGGCTGAACAGAATCTCTGACCTGAAATCTGAAATGCTCCAAAGTATGAAACGTTCTGAGTGCCAACGTGATGCCATAAGCAGAAAACTACATACCTGACTGGTCACCCAGGACACATCATAATCAAAATACAGGCTCAAACATACTGTATAAAGTGAGCTTCAGGCCACACGGTGCATATAAAATGTAAATGAATGTAAGTGTATATATGGGTTCCACCCCCAAGGTAATTCCCGCTTATGCAAACATTCAAAAATCTGAAAGAAAGTCAAAATCTCAAGCATTTCAAATAAGGGGTATTCAAACTATGTTTTTGCAGGCCTAAGCATTTGGAACCCTAAAACTGTGAACTTAATCCAAGTTGAAAAGTAGTAAAGAAACCAAAAGGTGGAAAACGAGAGCCATCCCTAGGATACCTTTTTCTACTATTAGTGCTTTCAAACAAGGAAAGTGGTGTGTAGCTTTGTAAGAGAGCACTTGCCTAGAATGAGTTAGGCTCTGGGTTCAAGCTCCAGCACTGTATAAAAGAAAAAGAAAAATGGAAAAAAAAATGCAGAAGCAGGGGGTCATCAATAAGCAGTGAGTTCCTTTAAAATAAGACATGAACCAATAGCCATAGGCTGACTTTTCAGGCTAGTACTCTAATAATTTAACAAATATAAGAAACAGGGCTGGGCAAGGTGGCACACACCTGTAGTCCTAGCATGCAGAAAGCAGAGGCAGGTCGATGAGTGCGAGTCTGGCACCACCCTGAACTACATAAGAACTTGTCTTCAAAGAAAGAAGTGGGGAGAGAGAAAGAGAAAGAAAGATGGAAGGAAGGAAAGAAGGAAGGAAGGAGAGAGAGAGAGAGAGGCGGAGAGAGAGGGGGAGTGAGGGAGGGTGGGCTTAAAGTGAAGTACGATTTACCTTTGGAGTCAGCATTTGGGAACAGCCTGTTCCATGGCACCTTATTTTTGTGTGGAAGAGAAAGCAAATAGTTTCTAGCTTTTAAATTTATTATGCAATTCAGGTCTTCTTGTGATGGGGATCCAAGAATGCCTATTGGATAAAATAGATGGTTGTTAATTATCAAGACCAAGGCAAACAACTGTATACCATCAGCTGTGGGATGAATGAACCCTGGTACTTGTCTTATCACCACTCAATGCTTATTAAACACATTTTTTAAAAAAAGATCATTAACATTTTAAACCAGAGAAGATAAAAAACTCAGGTCTATCACAGGTTGCAGAGTTATTACAATTCCTCTTCATTTACTGATACAACTCTGATAAACTAAACCGTGCTCAGGAACCTTACCTAGAATGTGGTTCAGCTGGTCGAGATAATGCTTCCCTGGAAAGATGGGCCTGTTGGACAGCATCTCTGCCAGGATGCAGCCTACTGACCAAATATCAATGGACTTGGTATAGCCCTGCAGCAGAAAGGGAGAAAAGGCTGAAAATGATATTTGTTGTTATACGACAACACAATGAGATCTTCCACAGGTATGTGGTTTGTTAGAGTTTAAGCTTCTCCTTTGCTGTTATAGTTTAAAAACACATTGAGATAGCACAAAAAAACCAACTAATCTGCATTATGAGATACTGAACAGCCAAGATTACCTGATTTTCTCAACATTAATTAACTTATATACTTCAGTTCTTCTTTCAAATGATTTGAGAGAAAGCACATTTTTAAATGGCTGATGGAAAAAAGAAAAGTTGTAGCACTCATCCTTTACACCTGACATTGGTGGCCTACATACTCATTTTTAGAAACCTAGAAATCTATTCAAAAGAAATCCTGCTATATTTCCAGAATATCTTTAACCATCCTGAAAACCATATTAAAAAACATCAGGTTGAAAAACCTTAATCTCGGTGGGGAGGAGCATATACTGCTGCAATATTTTCATCTCCTATTCATTTTTCAGCTTTAAATTTCCTTTTAAAGGAAATCTGTTCAGAATCATGGAAGGAGTCTATCTAAATCACAACAAGGCATAAAAAAGTATAATGAGATATGGAAGGAGAAATGTAGAAATAACTAGGAAACAACAACAACAAGTCAAACATCAACATTTAGGGAATGAGTGAAATTTCTTTGGAAAATCAAAGAACCAATGACCAGATCTATATCTATGAGAAAATGGGGTTTAAAATTTTTTAAATAATTCTAAAATTTTGTAATTGAAAACCCACAAAAAATAAATAACTAAAAGGCATCATGACCTTTGGGAAAAAATGGCTTCTCCAGGTCTGAGACAGAGAAAAGTACCAAATGAACCTAGAGCTTTCAATGCCAGAAAGGAAGAATGTGCCTAACATTTGTGGGGAAATACCAAAAGTAGCTCTCACCAGCCAAATCTGGACAAAACACATAATGGCAGAAATGAATTAAAAATCACAGAATTAAAAAAATGAAAGAAAAAATTTCCAGAATAGGAAACTTTATGAAGAGGGTAGTTCAGTGGTTATCTAGATTTAGGGGAAGGGACTGGAAGAAGATAGCTAGTCGGTAGTGTTTTGAATTGGGCTAACAGAAATGATCTAAGTTTGACTATGGTTATAGTTGCACAATTCGGTCAATGTGCTAAAATCTACTGAATCTTACATTTTACGTTTCTAAATTATGTAATATTCAAAATTTTAGCTCAATAAAGTTTTTTTTTTTTAAATCATAGAATAAATAACTGGAAACCACTAAAATGTAGAAGGAATTAGAGAGCCAGGCTCAATGGCACATCCCTATAATCCTACCTATTGAGGAGGCTGAGACAGGAGGATCACAAGTTGCCAGCTTGGGCAATTTAGTGAAACCCTATCTCAAGATAAAAAAGGCGGGGCCAAGTGCGGTGGTGCACTTCTGTAATTTTAGCACTTGGGAGGCTGAGGCAGGAGGACCACTGTGAGTTCAAGGCCAGCCTGGGCTACAAAGTGAATTCAAGGATAGCCTGAACATAATGAGACCCTCTCTAAAAAAAAAAAAAATCAATCAATCAACCAAAATAAAAAAGGCTGGGAATGTAGCTCAGTGGCATAGTGCCCATGCTCCTAGATTCCATCTGCAGGAAAGAGAGAGTGAGTGAGGAAGACAGTGAGAGCAAGAGAGAGTAAGAAAGGAGGAGGGGAGGAGGGGAGGAAGGGAAGAAGGAAGGGAGGAAGGAAGGGAGGAAGGGAGGGAGAAGGGGAGGAGGGAAGGAAGGAAGGAAGGAAGGAAGGGAGGAAGGAAGGAAAGAAGGAAGGCAGGCAAGCAGGCAGAGGCAGGGAGGGAGGGATGGAGGGAAATAGGTTGTAAGAGTAGTAAGTAAAAATGTGCCAAAGACAACAATTTACACAAACTGTTTCTTCACAAATTACTAGTAATTACCAAAGGGGAAATGATAATCTGATGGTAGAGATCTGGAGGTGCCATCTTAATCAAAAGATCAAAATGAACACGAGCAATTATCAGCACAAGCCAGCTGTGTCTTCTGGTCACAGGCACCAAGAACAAAACATTGCTTCTGTGGTACTGGTAACAAAATACATGACACCAAATTGAGGGACGTTTTGAAAAAGAGCTGACCCCTACCCTTCAAACAATGGCAATGGATTTATGCTAAGTAAGGTATGATAAGGTACCATGGCTATCGGTAAGAACGCCCCTCTTTTAAGAGTATTAATATGCTCCATATGGTCTAGGAGTAAAGTACTGGTTTATTTGGCTCAGTGTTAGGTGATGTGCCAAAGAGAAAAGAGAGAAAAAAGGAAAGAGGAGTGAGAGAGGGGAGG